AACTGTCAGTGTTCACAATATCCAACATTTTCACTTCCCTTTTGAATCTCTGTTGAGTGGATATTCTCAATTCTCTCAAGTGTTTTACTATGATGGTCTATCTACAGCTCCCAGAGCAATGGAGAAATCAAAGAACCGGAACTAGTCAAACGTGAAGCTGCACAGGTGGGAAGAAAGAAGGAAGATCCCAGAAGAGAAAAATGCAAATAGAAGGATGGTTTGAAGAAGTATAGCAACTCCATGGTTGAGATTTGTAACCTCTCGTACCTATGTTTTGGTTGGCATGAAAGTTGATGTTAGTTTATGTTTTGTTTTAAAATTGCCGTGATTATTGTAGAACATTTAATTAAGAAAACTAGTGCTTGTGAAGTTTACTATATAATATTTATAGGAAACTTTAAGTTGTTGTTGGTCATTTTATATGTTCTAACTTGTATGCTTGAAAAATCAATGTTTCTTTGTTAAAGTACTCTGGGACTCTGGGTGCAGCATGATAAATTTTTGTTCTTTAGTTTGTTACTAAGATTGAATTTGATGAGGCTCCTCGTTGTTTCTTACCACTCATTGGCAGCTGTGAAGGAGCAAGGAGTGAAGTCTTTGTGGCTCTGCCTCCCGTAACTTGGTTGGTCAGTGTGCCTATGCTTCCTCTTTTCTGGACTCACATTGAATGTCTTTTTTCTTGGCAAACATTGCGGTAGGAATTAATGAAGGCAGTTGAGAAGCTCAGCCTGGCTTGCTCTGTGCCCAACTAACAACAACTTTTTGATCATTATAGGAATCACCAGAGACCATTGTGGGTTATAGGTTTGAGTTTGCCAGACTCTAATAATTCGAGAGTATTTATTATTATAAGATAGAATTAATCAAGGAGGTTTAGGTTTTGGAATTTGTTTAGTTTTGGGTATCTTGTCTTTGGGTTTATCAGGTTATTGAATTCTTAGGTCATTTGGGTTATGGGTCAGTCCTATAGTGGGTCATTTTGGTATTGTGACTTCATGAATAATAGGTACTCTGTCCTTTGGTTTATCAGGTTATTGAACTCTTAGTTCATTTGGGTTATGGGTAGAGTCCTATAGTGGGTCATTTTGGTATTGTGACTTCATGAATAATAGTCTTACTTTAAGTTAGGTAAATTTTTTTTTTTTAAAAAGGTAACATGTACAATTTACTAGCACAGGTAATTCCAGAAAAGGTAAATAAATAAAAGGCAGTCAGTCTAAACAAAAAGAAGAGCTCCCTCCATTGATTAGATATGGTTGTAGGCCATATAATATACCAGCTACCCCCTACCCACTACTCCCTACCCCTAAGCCTTCGAGTAATTATTTTCTTTTTAACAAAAAGCTGATTGTCTTTTGTTATAATTGCATGTAGTAGATTAAATATATTTTCTTGACGCTAGCAAAAGTATTAAAATTCCCAGCATCCAATCCTCATTTGGAAACTCTCGAAGGAGGTTTCAAAAGAAAAGCCCATAATAACCATAGATAGAAAAAGGGTATCCATGAATTGCAGAACAACTTTCACGTAGGCTTCGACGTAGTGCCCTACATTGACAGAGCTATATATATATATATATATATATCTATACATGTCCTAGTGGCAGACAAAAGATAGTTGAGAGCATTACATTGTAACGTTGGTTCAATGTACTAATCCATGTCTCTATGGACTTCAAATTTAATTTTCTTTTTTACTTAATTTTGAACTATCAACTATTTATATCATACACGTATATGATCAGTTTTCAATATATAGAATCAATCCATACTTATTGTTTCTGAAGGACGTTATAGTTTCTTTTGAGTATAGACAAATTGTAGAGGAGACTCTCGAGTTTTCATATATATATATATATATATGTATATGTATGTATGTTTATATTTAAATCAGAATTACATATTAATATGGTCATCTTTCACTACTACAAGTATGAATGTCCTCCACAATTCTTAATATATACTAAAATAATCTTCGCGACCATTATATGTATAATATGAAAATGTATATGTTGACTTACTGAAATGCTTATATGTACATAAGGGTGTGAATTTAATTTCTACATGCTTATATGTAAAGTAGGATCTTTGAAAGTGGAACCAATAAGTCTAGAGCTAGATTTGTGTGTGTGTGTATATATATATATATATATATTGTGGATGTCAACATTACAATTTCTTGATCATCAAATAACACAATATATATATATATATATATACCTTCTTATCTTTTAATTCATGTATGTGCGTATATAATATTACTTTGCTACCGTTAATACATTTTTGATGTGACATCGAGTAATCTTAAGTAGTTGATTATCATACTTTTGAACTTTTATTATTTTGCTTTGTTGAATTTGGCAATGGCGAATACTGTTGGCCATGTGATGGTGGTACTTAAAAAAGACTTTTATTTATTGCCCTTTGGATTTTTCTCTTTTTAATCTAAAATCTTAATCATCATTAAAAACAGTATTAGCCCATTTTTGCAATTAATTAAAGCAAAATTACGTTGTTAATTTAATTTTGATAATTCAAAAAAAATATATATTTCAGAATAAAAAATAAATAAACTTTTAAGTTAGATTTAAAGATAATTATTATGTTTTTTTATTTTCCTACTGAAAATCAGGAATATTATGTGTTTGACCATTCCTTATTAACTAAATTAATTAATTAATTAATTTATCTTCAAAGACTAATTAATTAAAAAATTAGAAAAATAAAGCATGGGTCAATGAGGTTAGTTGCACCACAAAATTAATTAGTGGAATGTGGTTTATTAGTTAGTGAGGTTGGTGTAATGATTGAATAATATAACTATATATATATATATAGCAGTTAAAAAAGAACATTCCTGCACCCATATATATATATATATGTATATATAGCTGTGTTTTTAACTCCTACGTTACACTGTTTTTCATTCGCGAAGTAAACTCTGGATTTTAATCATTGGCTCATCATATACTAAGGGTAAAAAAATATAATGATTTTGCAGAGCAGAAGATGGGATATGCCATCCCTTCAGATTTACATTTACCACAGTAAAAATTAAACCTTTCTCTCTAAAAATAAACCACCTTCTCCGTTCCACCTCAGTCGCGGTTAAAAAAAAAAAAAACTTCAGTAAAAATACTACACATAATTTCTCTGAAAAAAACTATCTTTTTCAAAATAATAATGGGAAGAAATTATTTCACAACTGGCTCAAACATGCCACGAACACTCGTAATTTAAAAGTTTGTTCTCCAATAAATGTAACATGTATGTACATATATAAGTGTATACATATAGGGATAAGAACTGTACTGGAAGAGGATGCAAGAAATAGAAAAAGGTGGTAGAAAGATAGACGTAAAGTCAGTGTCATGGAGGTTGGAAGAAATACATCAGAGGAAGGTGATGATGCACACACACTCACATATATATATATATATAAATATATATATATATGTAATGTTCGTGACTTTGTTTGTCACTTATAGGAGATGTGACAGTGTGATTTACATTTCATATTTCAATTATTGAGATTTGAGACTTGTGAATTTGAAATTTGTAATCAACAAAAGTGGTGGATAAGAATTTGGCTTCTTGTGCAATATTAACACCACTTCGTCATTGCTCCCACATGCTGCCCAAGTTTTTACACTCTAATTTGATAATGACATGCAAAGTAGGAAAAAAGAAAGACTCAACTTCACAATATATATATATATATATATACATACATAGAAAATTTAGATATAAGTGAAAATTTGATACAAATTATTGATGTAGAAATTGAAAGTAACTCTTCTATAATAGTCATTTTATTTGCGTATAATGAAATGTGATTCATATCTTCACCCTATACGTTTAATTTTTATAAATAAATTAAAATTTTATATGTATTATATTAATTAGTAAAGTTAAAATAATAGAATCGTTACTAAGAAATAAGTTTAATCTCGATATTAAAAAAGTTGACCTAAAAATATTACTCGAACAAGACGATCGATTTAATATTAATTATAATCTTCTATTTCTCCACCACATGATCTTAGGAGATATAAAAATAAAAAATAAAAAAAAAAAGTTTAGTGGGAATATTACCTCAATGCATGGTTTTATTAATTGCTTCATTCATGTATATACATATGAACCCTAAGCTGCCACATTGCTTTTTAACTTTATTCATATACGCAGTGTCAGTTTCAGCACTTAATGATTCAAGAAGCTCATTAATTTGAGTCCCACCCAAAAAGTACTTATTGCCTATTAATTATACAAATCCCACCTCTCGTAGCAGACTTAATTATAATACAGTAAAAGTAAATTTTAAATAAAAATATAATAAAATTTGAATTTATAATTTTTTATTAAAAAAACATATATAGTAATAGTCAATTTATAATTATGTAATTATTTATTAATCTAATTAATTAGATAGTTATTTTTATTTTTTTTTTAAATTATATATTTTTAATTCGAATAAAATTTCATATCTCGTACGAAAAATAAACCAGCAACTTGTACGTGCTATATATGTAC